GTGGCAACAAGCTGCCACAGAAGAGACACTACCATGGAGACTATTCGTGATCCTGTAAGAAATATCCATTGTATTTCACATCCCTTTGTTCTGAAAGCAGTTGGAAATATCTCACGTCCATTCATCACGAGCCAATGAATTATCCCAAGTTTAGAGTTTGGGAACTGGAAAAGTGTTAAAACTTACCAAAAAATAGTCTGCCTGGCATAAGTAGAAAGAAAGTGAAACATATATCAGCTTAGCTGGAAGAGTACCCACAAGTACTCAAGCTCCAACTTGAGAATTAAAGTATGAAAAAAAGACAGTTACCTGCACTATCCAAGTAATCATTAGTTTTGGAATAAAGCACGTGGATGCATGTATACATAAGTAGAAGAAGAACTGAAGAGAAAAAAGGAAGAGATTAAAGCTTCTTGTGGGTAATACAATAACTTTTAATTTTATTATAGGCATTTGCATTCTTTTTTTACATCCATGAACCTTGTTTCAGTTTTCCTGAGTTGCACTGCCTGTCTTCCTTTAATTCACATGTGAAAGAATATTTTGTGGATAGGTGCACTACAAGGAATACAATTCTGAGGTTGCAGACGAGGCATATTGTTGTTGTGATCCAACATTTTTTTGCATGTGTGCAGGATCCACGTGTTCATCCAGCACCATGGGACCAAATGACATTCCAGGAGCAGCTGCCCAGCCACTACCTCCATGCTCAGTGTATGTTCCCCACATAATTTGAAAGCTGAAAGTTGAAGCTCCTATCTCAAATTTCTACCTGAAAAAATATCTGGGAGATTCTTACTTGGAAACATTTTGTAACCCATTTTCTGCATTATTTACCCTAAGAACACCAAAGTTCTGTGAATTCACTCAAACCCAGGCTACAGATCTGACGGTAAAAACTTGGGGTTTTTACTTTATATTCTTTGTGGATATGCAGGAAGAATTTGATAGAAATTAGTGCATTCTTGATCTTAATGCAGATTTGGTTTTATTTTTTTCTCTGACTTTGGGGTTTTTTTTAAATTTAGGTATCAGTCTTTCAAAGTTCCAAGTGAACATCACTCAGTTACTACATGATCTCAAACTTATTTTTGGAACATGTAAAAATACCGAAAGGGTTCACTAATCTTTTGATGAGATAAAATTACTTCTGAAGGATAAAATTAGGATGCTGGAAATTTTCCAACAATTATATTTTTACAACTCTACCATGTATATTACACCGTGGATTTTTAAAGAATCATTACTCTGAAATATATATTACTTATGTCTTCTGCAAACTATATTTTGAAAAAGGTTTTAATGTGATAATTATTTGAAAAAAATCTCTCATTATTTATGAAGAATGATCCATATTGTATAATCTTGTTAGTACAACAAATAAAATATTAATGAAACAAGCATCCTGGTTTAGGCTAGGATAGAGATAATTTTCTTCCTAGTAGCTCAGCAGTGCTTACCCTGAGTCAAGGACTTTCGGTGTCTCGTGCCCTGCCAGCGAGGAGGGGGACAAGAAGCCAGGAGGGAGCATGGCCAGGACAGTGACCTGAACTCAAAGGGATATTCCATACCACAGAATGTCATGCCCAGTGTATGAAGTGGAGGGAGTTGGCCTGGAGATGCAGATCACTGCTCAGGGCTGGGCTGGGCTTCAGTCAGTGGGTGGTGAACAATTGTACTGTATATCACTTGTCTTTCTGGAGGTTTACTAATTTTTTTTTTGTTACATCCATTTTTCTTACTATGAATATTATTACTGTTATTGTTCCTATAGTGTCCTACTTTATTTCAATTATTAACTGTTCTTATTTCAACCTGTGGATTTTAACTTTTTCTGATTCTCTTCCCTATCCCACTGTGGTGGGAAGAGTGAGTGAGAACCTGTGAGGGGGTTAATTATTGGCTGGGGTTAAACCATGAAACAGAAATAAAGAAAAAATGGTTTAAAATAATTTAAATTTGAAATTTGATTCCAAAATTGAGGGGGGGGGGGGGGCTAATGGGTCAAAAGCACACTGATCCCATCACCCAGAGCTCAATAAACAGAAATGAACATGTTCCATCAGTATTTTCTGAAAAACAGGAGAGAAAGTGTAAGACAAGGGGATCAGTTTTTATGCAGATGATAGGTTACCAGTAACAACCTGCTTTGTGCTGCACTATTCGGCATATTCATAAATGGTCTGGAAAAGAGATGAGTAATCAGGTGACAAAGCCTGATGAGCTATCAAATTATTTAGGTTAATAAAGATGCATGACCTTGATTATCTGCAGGGAAGTTTATGGGAGTGACCGAGCAATCAAATGGCAGTGGAGTTCAGTGTAGATAAATGCAAAGTGCTGCACAAAAGAGCCCTTTTGTATGGAGGTATGAAATGGCAGGATCTGATCTGGTCATTACATCTCAGGAAAGAGAGTCCTGGAGTTATGAAAATGGCCCCATGGGAACATCAGCCTGGTGATCACCAGATGAAAAAAATAAAAAATTACTAGTAAGTGTTAAGAAATCAGCCAAGAACAAAACAAATAATATCTTTTTACTGCCACAAAGATCCATATTTTGCTTGCATCTTCTGTATAGGTCAAGAATCAGAGAAATATTGGTTGAGAGGGACCTCTGCAGGTCACCCAGCCCAACGTTTCCCTTGAAGCAGGACTACTGCCAACACTAGATCAGATCAGCTGTGGCTTTGTTTATCTGAGTGTTGGAAACCAAGGATGGTGATTCCACAACCTGCCTGCCTGGGTAATTTGTTCCAATGTTGCATGTTCCTTTTGGTGAAGAAATATTTCCCCATGACCACTTCGAACCTCCCTAGCTGCAGTTGTAGCTCAACACAGCTGCCCAACACAAGAAGCTGTTGCTCCTTGCTTTCTGCTTGACATTGCCAAGAAGTGTTTGGCTGCATCTTCCTTCAGATGCTTTTCTGGTCCCTGAACTTCAGCAAAAGGATGGAAAACAGGAACGTTTTTGATGTAAGACACAGCTAACTTAAATAGAATTTTTCAGGGTGGGAAAGGAGTTACAGAGTATATGATAGAGAACTAGTGAGCATCAAATGAAGATAACAGTAGCCAGGTGGAAAAGACACTAGAAGAGGCAAGATTTTGTGCAATGTATGTTTGACCTGGAGAAGTTGTTACCAGACAAGTTGTAGATGTTACAGATCCATGTAGGTAAAAGGGAAGATGGGTAAGTACCTGACAGAGAACTCCAGTGAAGGTTACTAAGGTCATAGAAACTGCACCTGCCTCATAAAATCTCTGAGTCTGAAATATTGGTGGTAGTGAACGTGCTGGAGGGAACTACTGCCTTCAGTAAAGCGACACAATATTGGTCTAGCAAAGCCCTTGGTCTCACCCAGTGTGGAAGTTCTTATGTTCAATAAATTGTTTGCAAAACTTAACTACTTTGTCTGCATTTCTGTCTTCCCTTGTTAATTGTGTTGGTAATTCTTCAGCTCATTTTCTCCGGCTCATGAATTATTATTGTATTACTATTATTATTTCGCTTTGTTTTTAAGTCGTGTGCACAAACAACAACAAAACCAGAACTGCAAACGAAATCTACATTTTGAAGAAATATGCCTCAGTCTTCAAAATGAAACTGCAGGCTGCAGTTTGCTGGCCAAAGCCTTATTTCCAACATGTCTACAGATTTGGTTCCACTAGGTTTTTGAAGTTATTACTTTTAAGGGAAGGATATGTCTATGATTAAAACAACGAAGCAGCACTCTGGAGATCTCACTCTAATCTCCAGCAATGCCACAAATTTCATGCTAGTTTTGGCAAATCAATGGGCCTTCATTTAGCATGAAATGAGTTTTCAGCAGATGAGCTCCATGGAAGTGCTCGGGTTAAGCACTTGCAGAACTGCTTAGTGAGGGTACTTTTCACCTTGTGCGTCTGTGTGACAGTAAAAAGCCCTGTTGTAGTGCCAGGGGGTGATCCAAGGAGGAGAGACGACCTCACAAAGCTTTCTGCACTGGGAAGAGAGACCACAAGGGAAAGGAGGAAGGCAAAGAGGAACAAAGAGGGATGAGAAAAGGAAGAAGGCGCTTCTCACTTGGCCTCTGAGGCCCAGAAGAGCAGGGATGGTCCAGAGGAGAGGGGCGGTGAGGGTCCCTGAGGAGCGGGGCTGGGAGACAGGGGCGAGGGCAGGGAGGAGCGGGCCACGGTCCGTGGGAACGCCATTCCCCGCTCCTCGCCCTCCGCAGGAGCGCTCGGCGGGGCAGGGGGAGCGGCTCTCCGCGCTGCCCGGTGCCGGCACACACAGGTGGAGCGGTGCGAACGGTGCGAGTCCCTCTGCCCTTCCCTTGGGACGGGGTCCCTCCAACTCCCCTCTCGTCCCCGCCTCGCCACGCCGGCCCGGCAGCCTCTCCCGCCCCGTCCCTGTGCGGGTCACCTCGGTCCCAGAGGCGCCCGGAGGAAGCGGCCGCCGGGGCGATGCGCCTCCCCGCCCCGCAGGCAGAGCCCCTTCTTCCCTTCCCACCCGAGGAGACACCGGGATCTGCCTCCGCTCCCCTCGGCCCTCCCCCTCGGCTTCCTCCCTCTCGCCTTCTTTTTCTTTCTTTTTTTTTTTTTCCTTTTTCCATCCCCTCCCCCGCCTGGGAAGACCTGGCCGCTCCCCCCGCCCCGTCCTCAGTAGCCGCGGGCGCTGGGCGGCGGACGAGCGGCGCGGAGCCGGGAGCCGGGAGCCGGGAGCCCGAGCCCCGGGGCTGCGGCCGCCCTCCCCTCCGTCCGTCCTGCGGGCTGCCAGGTATGAATGACCAAAACTCTTCCCGGTCGTCGGCTTCTGGGGAAGAGGCAGCCCCCAGAGACCGGGGTGGGCAGGAGCGGAGCTGGGGATGGGGGCTGAGGAGCGCTGCCCGATGCCGCGGACCGGGCAGAGCGAGGTAACCAGTGAGAGGTAACCAGAGTCTCTAAGGTGATAGTTCTTTTGCGATGTCGTTCTTCCTACTCGGGTCGTTTTTGAAAAATGATGGGGTTGAGAGATGTCAGTGCCTTGAGCTTGGCAGCTGAGATGTTTTGTATAAAGTTCCTGCCTCTTTAGCCTGATGGATATATTTTTGATAGGACTAAAACGCCACGCGTTTATCTGGTTTTTCATACTTAGATCCGGTTTCACAAGACGGCTTAACGGAACTGGAGGCAAGGGGCATATCTATTGGGTTTTCAGGGGTTTTTCTCTGTGCTGCGTCTTCTGCGGGGAGCAGGCACGGAGCCTCTTCACCCTTCAAAACAAACTCCTTTAATTCTGATCCATCCCCTCAGTATTAGCGCTACCATCTCCGCGCTCCTTTGGAATTGACACTAATTTCATCCAGACTCGTCACTGCTGGAAGCAGATTTATCTTGGAATAGCAAAAATAGAAGAGCCGTGCCAAGGTATTTAACTTGCAGGCTTTGTAGAGGGGGGAAACTCCTTTGGATCAGGCGCGGAAAATCAGAGCCTCCTGCGGAAAGCAGGACCAGGGAATGCCTAAGGAGAGATAAAGGTTTACTCCTCAGATCCTCCTCTTCTTCCAGGATAGCCCTGGGCTTTAACAGGCGGACACATAGGAGCTGCCGGCAACAGCGGAGAGGGAAGGCGGCCATCCCGGCAAAGCCCTCCCGTCTCCGCCGTTCCTCCGGCCGGTTCCCGGTCTGTGCCCACCCGCTGCCGTCCCGGGGCCACTGCCCGGCTGGCAGGGCTGGACCCCCGGAGCCGCTCAGCAGCAGAGCAGTGGCGTGGGCGCGACCTCCTTCCCCTCCTGCTCGTCCCGGCAAGCGGAGCGGAGCAAGGAGCGGGGAGCGGGGAGCGGCGGCGGGAGCGGCGGCGGGCGCGGGGCTGGGGCCGGAGCCTGAGCCGGGCACGGAGCCGGGCACGGAGCCGGAGCTGGGCACGGAGCCGGAGCCAGAGCTGGGCACGGAGCTGGGCACGGAGCCGGGCACGGAGCCGGGCACGGAGCCGGAGCTGGGCACGGAGCTGGGCACGGAGCCGGAGCCGGAGCCGGAGCCGCTGCCCGCGCTGCGGGAGCGCCCCCCGGCGGCCGCGCCGCGCACCCGCGGTCCTTGATTTTCCCCGCGTGCGGGATTTCAGAGATGAGCTGTCACGCTTGCCCTGTAAAATTAGGTTTCCTATGAGTACTAAAGCTGCCTAAATTTTTTTAAGCACCAGGAGCCGCAGTGGGCTTTTCCCCGCAAGTCAGAGAGGAGAACAATATCAATACACCACTATACAGAGTGAGCGCGCCTGGAGGAGGGAAGGGGGAGCAGTGCGGGACAAGATTAGGGCAGTGGTTTCTTCCAGGGATTGTGTAATATCAAAAATTTGTTCTATATTTTGCTTTGTCAGAGTAGAACTATGAATTCCAACTTTCAGGATATTTTAAGAATAAAGCCAAAAGCAGTTAGAGGAGATGGTTACTAAGCAGCCTCTGTTATTTTATGGCCTGGAAATTGCATTTTAAATTGTGTAAGCTTAGTATGAAATGTGTTGACTTTCCTCCAAGAAGAAGCAAACCCCAGAGCAAACCTCTATGCTGCACTGAACAGACCAAAATAAAACACTGTCAGGAGGCTGGACTGAATTTTTCTTCTGTCTGAGCTACACTGAGCTACATGTAAATTTCTTCCATGACATCCTGAAGAGAAACCTATTCTAGTTCTGCTTGACTATAAGTCTTTTCCTGAGCATCTGACATGCATTCAGCTGGAGTAAGGTAGATTAAAATGACAAAATATTTGAAGGATACCCTCAAAAATTAGGTAGTTTTGTTCAGTGGATGCAGAAAGTTTTAATGTTGGCAGCAAGAAATGACAAGAACTAAAAATAGTTTTACTTGTAAGGATATGCCTGGCAGCTGGAACACCACCAAAGTTATCAGCTGAGCTTGGAAACTGGAGGAAGAATTTCAACATTTTCATGTAGCTGGGGATCTCTCTCTTTCTGGTTTCCATCTTGTCTTCTCTCAAGCCATTAGTCATATCTTAAAGAGCTGACTCAAAAATTCCAATTACTGTAAGCCGACCCAAAGTCTGTATGGGAAAGGAGTGAAGGAAAGGAGAAGACAGATCATCTTGGGGTGTAAAGGAAGAGTGGAGAAGGCATAACACATTGAGGGTTTTTTCCTTTGAATCAGCTTGAAGCCTTCTCAGGACATTTCCTCCTCCGCCTGGAGGCTGTATTCTGTCTCTCCTTCTCCCACCCTGTAAAGTTATCTTTGCACCCATCTACACATTTATATCCTCATCATCTGGCAAGAGAAGACCTGTATTTCCCTTTTGCCAGCAGCCTTTTGCCAGGCCATGGCAACTGCTGACATTGCCCGTGCTTGGAGTTGGCCTCCTCTGAACAGTAGAGATGGGGTTAGTAAACAGATCTTAAATGCATGGCTGGAAATGACAAGGGTCTCCAGCAGCTCCACTGCTCTGCTCTCTAATGAGAATTACCATGTTTATCAAGTTCCTTGAACTTCGTCCAATTATTCTGAAGTGTAGTTAGTTCATTCCCAGTGACAAGTGGTTCATTATAAATGAAGAAAATCTTGGCTTCCAAGACTGCCTTTGTAAGCAGTGAGCACTCGAGTATCGTGTTTCAAATGGAAGGCTCCAAGGCAGTTATGGAAGGTTCTGTGCTTTGACTGTTTTTTTTTTTCTTTCTAAAGAGTGGCAGAAGGGAGCCATAGTACTCCACCCATTTGCTTGCAGATAGTCTCTCTATAAAGCAGAGAAAAAAAATTGACTTTTCTATAAAGTTAGTTATGAGATCATCTGGGAAAACATCAGCCATCGCAGCAGAATGACATCAACCCAGACTTTCTATGTGAACAAGCAGTTAATAATTGAACTTTCCTTAGGGCTCACAAAGTTCAGCTACAGAAGAATATCAAATATCCAGACCCTGAGGAAAAGATGAGAAAGGGAGGAGTTTTCCAGGGAAAAATAGAAAAATAATTCTCAAGCCTGACATTAGAACTGTCTTGTTCAGCAGCTATATTAGGGCAAAGCAAATTTAAACCAGCTTTTCTACATTAATGTCACATATTTATCCTCAAACCATGCTAGTTTGTGACAAGCTGGAAATAAATACAAGGAGATGCTTCCTCATATAACATGTAGTTAAGCTGTGTGACTCCTGGATGCAGAACATTGTGGCTACAAAATCCTAAATGTATTCAAGGGAAGACTGTCAAACTATGGAGGAGAAATGAACCTAAGGTTTCCTTACACTACAGAAACTATTTCTGCTCTAAAGTCCACCAGGTACAACTGGTTGTAAGTTAAGAAACTGTGAGGAAGGAGGGGCATACAGGGTTTCCTTATTCTTATCCCCATCCTCTACCTTAGGAAACCACATTTAGTCAGTGTCAGAAACAGGATTTTAGGACAGGCAGGCCTTTGGTCAGGCCAGGAACTTATTTTTATGTTCTCATTATAGTTTTTTTTTATTTTGACACCTTCTAATTTACCCACAGATATGTAAAATAGTAATTCCTCCTCAGATTTAGTGCTGATTGAGCAATAATTGACCCAACCCTTTGAAGGTAACTTTGTATATCAAAGTTAATGTTTAAATGTGCATATTTCTGCTATACCAATAAGCTAGACTGATGTGAACAACTGGTGTCCCTCTACAAAATCTTGTGCCTGGCGTGATTCCCCAGCTCTCCTTTCAAAATTTTCTGATATTTTTTCATATGACCACATACCTCCCAAAGCTCAGACCCATGAGTCACTGTAATCTCCAGATGTCTTAGGAAAGTCCATGCATCTCCAAAACCTGAGTTAGCTACTTTAAAGCCAGGGAGGGTTTCCTTCTATTGTAAAATGTGATATGTATATATATGTATATCCTAGTAAGTGGACTCCAGCTCGAAGTTGGTGTTCCATTCTGGCAAAGGTGAAATGTGTCAAAACTATGCTAAAACAAATCCGCCCTCTGAACCTGGCATCAGAAGCAAGAAGCTGTGGCTGAACTGTAGTGCTTACATAACTTAAAAAATTATAAATATTACTTATTATAGACAACAAATATGTCTATAGGGTAAAGGTGCCTCAAAAATCATAGGAGTCATTGGTTCATTATACAACTTTGAAAGCTATGTTCCCACTTCTTTTTCCATATACCCCTATTTTTCATGCTAGATCTTCAGCTAGCCTGTAGCTAGGCTGTTTCACTGGAAAGCACCACTTCTATTATTCTAAACTAAAATTAAGGAAAGTGGTTATGTTTGCCCTGGCCTACACTGCCATTGCAATGTAAACCAGAGAGCTTAACCACATACAAATCCTCGAATTGCTTGGCTTTTAAAGTTTAATCATAGACCCTTTCTTTCTTCACTGCTGAGGTTTCCATGTAATTGGAATGAAGCATGTTGGAACTGAGTACAAGTTTCCCAGTGGCAGCTGCCAGTAGTTGGATAATGCCACTGACATCACTGCTGCCAAAGGAGAAAAACGGTATTTTCAGTAATGTTTTGAGCTCAGAATCAAGAGTTCTGGGTTCAGTTTCTGGCTCTGCCTCAGACTTCTAACAATTTTACATTTTTCCTGCATGTTTCCCAAATACAGATGGGAATAATACTGCTTTTTGTCTCTCTCATTTAAAGTATTAGCTCTTGGTGTAGTGCATTACCCCATCTAGGTGGTGTACTCCACATGTGACCATAAGGCACAGACAGCACGGTTCCTACAGCCTTTGTGGGATCCTGAAAAAGGCATGTGATGAGTAACCAGGCTTGTCTCTCCTACTCGGCTGAGCTTTGCTGCATGTATGTATAACCAGGAGACTCCTCTACACCTTCCCCTGTCCTCATTTGTCTGTCTATCCTAGAAGACCTTGCTTCCTTGGGATAGCAGTTAGCAAAGTACCATTTTTCATACAGGCAGATTCATAGTTATCAGCTGGATGGGTAATGGAGCACCGTTGGTGACTTTTAAGTCGGCTAAAGCCATGTTCTGGCCATTACATGAAAGAGCACAATTAGTCTGGTCTCCCAAGGGTTCCTAAGTCTCATAAGTGTAGTCTGTCTATCCATCTCTGCTTGGATCCCAACTTTTGATTACACTGAGGGCTTCTACCTTCAACTCTATAGCTATAGAAAAGTGAAGCAGAACCGTAACATGTAACCGCATGCCTTTGGAATAAATAAAACCAGGAGGCTCTGCCGAGTGGAATGACTCAGAGTGTTGTCCACTGAGGAAAAAACAGGTAAAACTCAACTGGTTTCATCTTCTAGTAGGTAGCTCAGCTGAATTATCTGCATCCATCTTGCTAGAAACAATTGAAAGAGTCGGAGGCAATACAGGGAATATCTGAGGCATTTCTATTTTGAGTAGATTGTAGAATTCTGTTCCACTGATGTCAGTTCTAAAATTGCATAATTATACTTAGAAGATATTAAGATAACCGTGTACATTTCCAAAGTGTATTTTCAAATCTCTCTTTCTTGTTTTAGAAAAAATAAAATAAAATGGAGCACATGTTACTGCTATTCATATTTTTCATACCTATATTGGGTCTCAGTAATGGAACAGAAACTGAACAAGATTTTACTTGGCACTTAAAGAAGATTCCCCAGATTGTGAAAGAAAGAACTTTCTCCCTTGACAGCCCTAAATTTGAAGCAAAAACCAAATTAGAGCTGAACAGCGTATGTGGAATTGAATGTCAAAGAAAGCTACCAGTGCCAAGCTTGTCTGACTTGAAGAATCTCTTATCCTACGAGACTGTTTTTGAAAACGGCACAAGGACCCTGACTGAAGTGAATGTGCTCGGAGCAGTGCTCGACCCAGCTGCAAACACAACCACGCAAAGGCCTCCGAGAAGGAAGAGGCAGGTGTATGGAACAGACAGCAGGTTCAGCATCTACGACAAGAGGTTTATGACCAACTTTCCGTTCAACACGGCTGTGAAGATCTCCACGGGCTGCAGCGGCATTCTCGTTTCCCCCAAGCACGTACTAACAGCAGCCCACTGTCTGCACAATGGCAAGGATTATGTTAAAGGCAGCAAAAGACTGAGGGTGGGACTGATGAAAACGAAATCCAGGGGCAACGGCAGGAAACGCAAAGGTGCTAAAAGGAGTAGGAGAGAAATTTCTGCGGCCAAAGAGGATCCCAAAGCTGCCACAGAATTAAGGCGACGATCCAAAGGGGATGAGAGAAAGCAGAGGAGATCTGGGAGGAAGCAAGGGACCTCAGATGGAATGCCCTCCTTCCAGTGGACCCGGGTGAAGAGTACGCACATCCCGAAAGGCTGGTTTAAGGGTGTCTCTGGGGATATTGCCCTGGATTATGATTATGCTGTTCTTGAGCTCAAGCGCCCCCACAAAAGGAAATACATGGAGCTTGGAATCAGCCCAACAATCAAAATGATGCCTGGGAGCATGATCCACTTCTCAGGTTTTGACAATGATCGGTCTGGGCAGCTGGTCTATAGATTTTGTAGCATTTCTGATGAGTCCAATGATCTGTTTTATCAGTACTGTGATGCTGAGCCTGGCTCCACAGGATCTGGCATCTATCTCCGTCTGAAGGAGCCGAACAAGAAGAAGTGGAAACGCAAGATCATCGCTGTTTACTCGGGCCATCAGTGGGTGGACATCAATGGCGAACAGCAGGATTACAATGTAGCAGTACGAATTACTCCTCTGAAATATGCCCAGATTTGCTTCTGGATACACGGGAATGATGAGAATTGCACACAAGGCTGAAGAGAGCCGAGTCTCACTTGCTTAGTACCCTCACTGCCGTAGAGTGGGCAGTGCAACACTGCCTGGAAGAACATCACTCCACGCCAGAATGTTTTTGAACTCAAAGCTCGCAAATAGTGCTACGGTGACTTAAGGAATGCTGAATTGCTAGGGGAGGGGTAGAATTGTCAGACAAAATATTTCTAATTATAATCAACCTAGATACGCACTTAAAATCCCAAACCATATTTATGTTTGCAATTGTGATAAATTCAAGTCATTCATGAGGAGAAAAATGGCTGCACCTGTTTGTCATTTTTTTCCCCGGGGGAAGAGTTGAAACATCTCAAACTGGTGTTATTAAACAGTATCTATTTTTTTCCAATGGATTTACTTTTCTCAGGGTTCTGTTCCAATTCTTCAAATGCAAGTTGTGCATATAGCATGTTACTGTATGTGCAGAATGATCCAGAGAATTGCATGAGAACAAGACATTATTCTGGCATTCTCTAAAGACCACAGGTCCATGTTGAGAAGCAGCACTACAGTTAATGATTGTTAGTTTGGAAAACTTCCTCTGGTTGCTGCAGGAACACACCCATGGAAATTCCAAATTTGTGTAGCTGAGGGTTACACCTTAAAGATAGATTCACTTCATTGCTCAGTAAAAATAACAAAAAAGAAATTAACAAACAAAAGTTTCCATGTTTGGAAAAAGAAGACACATCTGGACATAGTTAAATGCCTTTAAAGGTTCTTTGAGAAGCTGTAGAAATCTTAAACATATGCATTTGCTTTCCAATTAGTATTTGGAGAGCTGTAGGTTTAGTTTCTAGTCAAATGTTTAGCTTTACCATTGGGAGAAGTCTCTGACTCCTGAAGTGGCTACTTGACAATCATTTAGAGCTTCACAGATGATATATTTTTTGGGTGCTAAACATTTCTTCAGTTTTTATAAATCACTTTTATACGAGTTCAGCTTCATAGATAGGATAGTATATATTAGACTGGGAGTTGAAAATCAATATTTTAGTTTGGCTTTATGCAGTTTTGCAAAGTGTGTGGTTTTAATTATGTTATATTCAGACTCCACCTCAGCATGATTCACAGGGTTAACTAAACATATCTCCCAGCTAAATTATAGCACCTTTGGAATGGTAGAACTATTCTGTGCATTATAAAAGGTATCTTGTTAGATAGCAGCAGTAGTTAGCAAATAATTTGGTTCAATATGTTTGCAGAACCATGTATTTAATGAAGACAAACTGAGCTTGACTTTGATTTTTCACATCTTTAAACACAAACCACCTTCTTAAAAAACTGTTGTTGATTGCTATATAAGTCTATATCTTTTATTTTATGTCAAGATTTTGAAGTACACAGAATTGTTATGGTGCTACGTTAATCTAATAACACAAAAAGATACTGTGCCTTTCTGATCATATCTTTTGGGTTTCAATACTTTCAGAGTATTCACTACCGTAATATTTAATTTTATTTACCATAAATTTATGCTGACCAAAATACTTTTTCTTCCTGTGCAGGAGGAAAAAATGCAACAAGATTTTAAAATAATATTTGATTGTTGGAATCTTTAAAACATGCTTGTAATATCTTTTGATGAAATAAGATGATTTTAAATAACCCTGTTTTTTGGTAGATGGTTGAAAGTATATAACCTAACACACTGAATGTGCAGGCAACTTTGTGCTATTATTGCCAAAGCATAAAAATTTAAGACTTGCTTCCATATCATAAGCCTAACAATATTTCATTCATTGGAAGAGATCTCACTTTAAAGGAAACTACTTATTTTAATGTCAACCTGTCCAGGGAACACTCAACTTTTTTTCCTTTATTATGTTTTAATTTTATTTTGTGTGATTGTTTGCAGAAAACTAATAATAATTTTTAATGTTTAGAAATAAATCTCTAAGATTTTAGGGTTAATTATTTTTTATTGTTGTTAACATCTCTATTAACACATGTGGCTTTGCTGACAGCAATTTTAAATCACCTCAGCCCAGTATTTAATACTCTTGCTCTATGCAGCAGATTTATAGTATTCTTTAGTCAGGTCTGTAATGTTTTTCTTAAGTGCCTTTTTCCATAGTTACTGTGACAAATAAGGTATCACATCATTAATCTAACACAAGACAACCCAGGTTCATGGATTTTTTTACAATTATTGTCATTGTTGATTTGGGTCCAAAACTGATCAAGATAAGGGGGCTTAGTAAATGCCTTGTTTTATTGAGTCTTATTTAGGTGTGCTCCTCAGAAGAAGAAATAAAATCTATATCTTTATCACTTTGGGAATTGGGAGGAGGTAAGAATGAGAAATGTTTCATGTCAGCTTCCAAATGGTCTTGTTATAATAATCATCTGCTGTAAACATCTGGGCCTCAACCTGAGGTTCCCATACCAGGGTGATAAAACCTCTTGTTTTTCAGAGAATAAATGCTAGATGCTCAGTGCTTCATTTGTTCATTCAAACAAACCAGCCTCTGTGTCTCAGTGCCCGTGCACAAAGACCTGCAAATACACAGGCCTGGGGAACATTTGCTGTTTTGGTGCTGTTGGCACCTTCAGGCCAGGGAATGCAGGTAGAAGAAGACACAGACAAAATGTTTTTTCTCTTGTCTCAGCGTACTAGGCAACATTTTGGTCTTCCACTTGGCCTAATGGAGAAATAAGTGCTTTATGTAGGCATTGTGACTACCTACTACAGGGACTACTGGAATAGTTCATAAATCAAGTACTTACACACAATCCCAGGAATAAAATAGCCTCCACAGAGCTTTTGGAGTCCACCACTGCAAATGGGACAAGAATTTCTGAGCCATCTCAGATTTTCTTAAAAACCTGCAGTTACTATCTAGTTACCAATGAGAAAATATGAGGAAGAAAATGATCTCAGTAGATCAGATCTTGCTGTTGTCTAGGACACCAGCAGCAAGGCTGTTTGTGATGTTTCCCTAAAGGATTTTTCCTTTCTCAGGTACCAGGCTGTACATCATTTGCTTTCATCAAAATAATTCTTTTCTCATCTTTTTATTTAACTGTATTTCTGGCTTTAGGAAGAAACAACCTCAGTCAAATCTCTTTTCTCCTAGAGGCCTATTGAAATTTATAAAGTCAACAAGTAAGGGTTTTTTTAGGGCCAAAGGTAAACCTCATATGCAAGTCATTAACACACCCAGACCAGCCCCTGCAAGGCTTTTGTGGATGTGTTTAATCTGAGGCTCTGAGACACATAGTGGATGTCAAGGGGGTTATCTGCAACATGAAAAATTCGGTCTAAGTTTGTACTAACAAAAGAAAAGCACAACATTATGTAGGGAAATGATTTCTGTTATATGAGGTATAGAGTACCCAATGCTTTAATAATTGCTTAAAGAAACTCCTTGCCTCCTTAAGACTTACGATCTTAATTTTGCAGATTTATGAGTCTATATGGAGTAAGAATCAGTATGAATATGGCTTAAATAAAAAAAAAAAAAAACTTGTCCGCGTGTGGAGGAGAGAAGTAGTTGGGGAATTCTTTCTATTCTGCTGATAAGGGATGACCTGGCAGCTAACAGAAAATAAAACAGAAAGAAAGAACAAGTAGATGGTATGGAAGACCAGGAGGATGGAGGTGTTATGCACGGGATAAAGGAAGTGTGCAAAGTAACATATGAAATGGCTGCAAGGTAGCAGAGGCATCGATTGTGAGAAAGAGTAGGCAGATGGTAGGCACTTAATAGTAAGAATTAAATGTGAAATTCATTAGTTTCCTGAACAATTTTTCACTGATAAAGACAATGCTTTTCTTTCCAGCCAACAGCAACAAGGAAAGGGCTGTGAGAGGACTCAGGCTGTGGCAGGCACTGCTAGCAGGCAGGGGTTTTGACCCTGATCTACAATCCATGTCTGAATTCACAGGGATTATGCTTCTATTCATTCAGGGTCCTTGGAAAGCAGCAGATCCGTGTTCTGACCAAAAGGCTTGGCAGTATCAACCTCCCAATACACTGGATCACCAAGAGTGTAGTGAGTAAGGGGAGTTCCTCAAATCTGACCTTTTGCTGGGATTCCTGTTAAGGCTATTCTCCACTGGAAAAAAAAATCAAACAAAAAATCTCAGACTTAAGGCATTTAAATGTTGTCTCCATTTTTTGCATGTATCTAGAAATTCTAGGCAATAAATTTTTTTCAAGCATCTTCTGTTTGTGTTTGGCATCTGTAGGAATTTAATCAACTGCTTCTAATTTTAAAGCACAGATTATTGCAGATATTCCATCTACAAATTCCTGGATTAAAGAATGACTGGGGAAAAAAATAATGTTATTAAATTGAAAGCTTCAAATTTCACTCTAATCTCAAAGGATTTGGAAGTATATTTGGGTCCCCTTTGCATCAGCCTTTTTGCTCCAAGCCTAACAACATTTAGGTTGAAAACCTCCAGAAGTAGCTTTGAGGATTCTTTCATGTTCTTAGCTTTTTTAAGACCAACAGAGAACAGTATAATATTTTAACTGTGCAAAATGACAAGCCATTTGAGAAAATAAATGCAAACCTTTGCTCTGATATTGTATGATGCACTTATTATGTCAATAAATATTTTCTGTTGTTTTTCTTTTCCTCTCTCATGATGCAGTTTGTTAGCTATGGTTGTGTTACACAAACTTCATTCTCTAAGTGCCTGTAATGATTTATCAGTGAATCATCTGGGACTTGGTTTTACAAGATATTAATGTCTCTTTAAACTTGTTCTGGGAAAAAAACCCTCCCTATCTTCAAGATAATTACTCCATGAGCAAATTTGATGAGTAAAAAAATTAAGTTCAGCAAGGAAATGACTCATAGTCTATGCTGCAAGTTATTAATTCTAAAATAAGTAATTAATTCTGTTTCTGCCTTGGACAGCTATTGAACAAGGCCAAATTAGAAGTATGTGAAATACTATAATCTTGGTTCTTGGAATTATCTTAACTCTGTGCCCTTGAAACTGGTGCTGATTTTATCTCTGAGGGTAAAAGGAGAGATTTTTGGCAAGGTCAAGAGCTGCTGGAAATATTTAAGGGAAAGTTAAGAAATTATTACAGCTGTGATAAACAGTGTGTCTAATACAAGCAGTAATTACCAAGGGTCTGGCAAGGACATACCTCCAGCTCTTATATGGGTCTTCACATGGGGGAGAAGTAAGTGCCACAGGGAAATTTATAGGACTGAAAGCTCTTTGACCTGGAAAAAAGTTTTTCTGGGGCTGGTAACAGGATCTAAGTCTTTCCATTGCTGAAATCTACTTTTTGCCATGACCTAGGAGAATGTCTTGGTTCCTGAAAAATGTTTCTCAGCCTCCATTCAGGGAACACACAGACCCAGGGGTGAGAGCTGTGTCCTCTGAAGGCCATTCCCAAGCCACTGGCACGGATGTGGTTTCTTTGGTGGAAGAGATGTTCAAACATGTTATGGATCACACACTCCCATGGGCCTGTGGGGAATGAACTGGAGTCTTATCCCAATGTCTGTTCAGCCCTGAAATGTTCCCATACAACCCAGATCCTCGTGCAGGTATTTTCCAGTCATACTCCCATGTCCCATAGTGTTTAACAAATGCTCAAATGGCCTTCCCCAAATAACAGAAACTCAAATCTTCCAAAGAGGTGGCACCTTATGCTGTTTATTATGCAGGTATTCCTGATGAATCATTCATTCCTTCTGCTTCAAATATGTCTTTAGATCTTAAAAATAGCTAATCCTTCAGTTGTTATTGCTAAGAAGAGAAATCAGATATACTGGAAAAACCGCACAAATATTTAGTTTTGCTTCTTAGTAATTATGTACACACCACACTTTTTGCAGTTGCTATGACTCTATTTCTTTTCCATGTGAAAGAGTTTGAAAACCTTGGATGAAACCATATTGGGCTGGTTTTCAGACAAATTACTCAGCTGCCCTTTGACTGCAGTTGCAGCATTCTCCCACCCCTCCCCTCCAGCTTGATTTCCACATTTATGGATAAAATGCTGTTTAAAGCTTTGCTTAATTAAGGATGAAAGCACCCAGGAGGCAGCACACAGCAATGGACCCTTTCTGGCTTTATCTCTCTGTGGACATTTTGAAGCACGGAGAAGAAGAGGACAATAGAAGGCAAAGGTAAAACCCATGCACTACAGCAAAAAATCTCAGTGCCTTACTGAGTGGAAGAAAATGTGATTTCTATTTTTTTCTACTGTCAAAGGCAACACTAGTTTTTGTATTTACAATTTCTTTGTCTTTTCTTGAATGATTCATCAGCTAAATATTTTTGGCTCTGTACAGGAATGAGCCAGCGGTAGTGGGGATACAACATGGCTTTGAACACCAGCAAGGGCTTCCCTTCCTCAAAACACACACACTGAAAGTGAATGCTAAATTACCCCAAAGGGAATTACTAGCAATACAAAGAGGGGCAAAAGTCACCTTTAAGCACCAATGGGATATTTAGGGGAAAAGTTTATGCATAAAAGCAATGGAGACTTTATAGCTGCACGTGGCACATGGGTTTTTCTGCCATGGTGTCTGTGCAGGTCTTTGATGCATTCCAGAGCTGTGGTGAGTTACATGGTGAAAGAAAATCCACCTGCTGCTTGTCAATCCCACCACTACCCACAGCAACAGGGACCTACTGTGCTACCAAACTCTCACTGCTTCAGGCGAGTTTGAGCTCAGGCCTGGCCTTCGAAAACGGTGGATGTGGACAGAGGCTTCCAAGGATGTGGCCACTGACATTTTAGGTTTTATACATTTTGCTCTGCATCTACATGGAACATGTATGAAACCATTTTTAATAACAGTGAATTGAAACAGTAAGCTCTTGTAAACAAATGCTGCATCACATTCTCTCATTTACAATGCTCAGTCTTGAAGGGAAATTTGACTCATCACATAGTATATATATTTACTGGTTGTAAAACATTATACACCATCCATTTGTGACCTGTAAATTTCTTTCAGGAAGAAATAAAAAGGAAGCCAATGCTCAAAAGGGAAAATAGCTTTGTCAGTGTTCAATTTACTGCACAATTTATTTCCTTGCTTGCCAATTAACCTCGTACAACAGTGATCTGTGATCCAATAATTGAATGCTGCTCATTCAATTGACATGCTTGAGTCCTTCACTCCTTGAAACTGATTTTTCCTTACCAGTTCACACTAGACAAAATCAGGCATCTGTGTAAATACAGTGCTCACAAGCTTAAAAAACCCCACAAAATCAGCTGCCACTAATTGTATTTCATTATTGCATATCAGTTTCCAATTTAATTTCATTCTTTCCTGCCTATCTTGCATTCTTTCTAAGTGAGAGAGAATCCCACTTTCAAATTTTTTTAATTATGCCCATTTTGGATTTTCACTTCATTTTCTTCTCTAACACCAAACACCTAAAATTAAAATAAATGAAATAATGCCCAAGCATTGCTGTACAATGAGGAGTCTGAGTTACAGTTTTAGAGAAGCCACTTCAAGTTGCTGTTAAGGTAACAGCTGCAGAGAATGAAAGGCAAAATCACTGAAAACAAACCAGTGTTCATAGCTCTAAGACACCAAATTCAGAGCTAGCCTTGGGAAATGCTTTGAGTCAATGCACAGGCTGCCAGCTGAAGGAACAATCTTGTGACATCCTTACAAAACAGCTCTGGGAAGCCCTGGCAGCTCCTCCTGCCACAGATGCTGATGGAGGGAGAAGCCGCCGGCTCTGGACCCCAGCAGCAAGCACAGCGTTTAATCTCCTAGGCACATCCTGCTCTCCAGAGGAAACTGATTTAATTTCACTGGTCTAAATGACTGCAAAAATAGCAATGATTTGATGCTATGAATCAAGTTATATTAACTGGGCTGCAAATGGCTCCTATCACAAGATCCGCTATAATGACAGCTTTGAATAAAAAGCGAGCGATCCTTGACAGGGAGATCTGCCTGTGTGGGATCCACATCTGCTCAACACCTGCAGAAATTTGGCAGAAATGTTGTCAGTAGCTGGCTGTGGGTGAGGTTTATTACACTAGTTATTTGAGCCTACTGCTAAGGTAATGTCTTGTTGCAGCAGCACGGGCTTCTAGGGCTGATCCAAGGACAAAGCCTGCAAAAGGGCAATTATAGATGCTTCACATAGGTTTTGCAGCCTTTCTTTACATACCAGTTGTGAAAGAGAACATCACAACTCTACAGAAAGGGCAGAATCTTCTTATTCCAGTATGTACAATACACCCGCCTTCCCCCCCCTTCTCCCCAATGCAATTAAACAGCACAAATTAAAAGCTATTTAATTGGAAAGAACTGTAAGTATTGGAAAGAACTTAGGAAATGCCATGTTTTATTATATCCCTACTCCAGCCCTTTCTTTAATATGCAAGGTGGAGCCAGGGCTGTAAGCAAAGCCTGTTTGCCAAACCCTTACTGGCCCTCATGTGCTCATCTCTTGCCACAGCTGTCAGAGCCCACATACAGAGCCAAAATTACACAGTCCTGGGATAGAAGGATGCGGCCACCTACTTTTCAAGGCCACAATGTAATTTTCTTTCTTTAATTTGGCAAAGACTAGGCTTCCAGGTAAGTATTTTTAGACACATAAGAAGTCACATTTCTAGATCCAGAAGCCAGCTCCCTCTTCGTAACTTGAAAGCAAAATTTTTGTAAACTTTTAGGCTTGTTTGGCAACATCATTGTGGAACCAGCTCCTGGTAGAAACATGATAAAGACAGAGCTCAGAGATACAAGACTGGTGGGAAACAAAGTTATCTATGAAGCAGATAATTGCTAAAATAAAAGAAAATAAAATATTCTTTAAAAGATTTGACAGGATTATTTTCTACTACCTATTGACTATGTACATGGAAAAGAAAATATTTTGTTTTGTTTTGAATTTTTGTGAGATTCCAATGTCATATCTTAGCAGAGGGCTTCTTAGGCAGCTCCACCAGTTACAGTATTAGGATTTCAGCAGATAGTGTTATGTGCCCTGGGGCAATCCAAAGACAGTAGGAATGGTGGTGATAATCAACCTATTGATGAGACTGGTTTTTGGAAAAAATCCAACCAACCGACCAAAAAACAATCCAGATATTATGGCCACTAATACCCACAAAACTTTCCATGAGAGCAGAGCAGTTCGGACCTGTGTCCTGCCTCTCACTATTGTCCCTTCCATATTCACAGCTGTGCTGGTTTGAAATAGCTTGGGTTTTGGTGATGAAGATTCTTTTCCTTGCACAGGCTTCTTTCCCTTGCTACCTGCCACATACACGTGCCAAGGATGAGTGCAATTAGCAAGGGAAAGAAACCTGTGCTCTCAACCTGCTAATGCTGCTATCCCCATCCTTATCTGAGAGGCATCTAAAACGTGCTGTGTCCTGTCTCTTCCCTCACCTCCCCCATTGTCCTCCAGATACCTGCAGCTGCTTCTTGTTTCTGTCTCTCCTGCCAGGTGCATGAGTAAGGCACATGTGGGAGAATCAGAGTTTGAGGATCCTGCATTTGAGGGTCTGAGGAGGATGGATAGCCTCATCTCCTCCAGAGCCCTTCTGCCCTGTAGTCTTTGCAGTGTGCTGAATTCTCCCAGGACAGTTCCTGATGCACAAAGGAATACAACCACATGAAAAGCAGG